GAAACCAAAACAACTAGCGCTGCATTGTTGTGTTAGCATGCTAATGCTAGCAATCTTTATTATTCATTATCTTTATTTACCCGAAATGAGCGTGATCTAGAAACGCAGTTAAGCAGTGAGTACAGTATGTTATTCTTCTTTTCTCTAGTCCCTCAATTAAACAACTTTTATTCGCGAGGGGAGGAGTCAGTCGCCATCCGGGCGATGTCAACAAACTGAAAATATGACTCAAAACATCACAGACAGTGAGACTTGGGTGTTACACCCATTGTAGACAGTCATGAGTCTCAGAGTTATTTTCAGAGGATATACTTGATTTCTATTATATTTAAGTGTGAAAAATCACATATAAAGCCTTTAAGTGTCTTAAAATTTGACAACCTGAATAGGGCATCGAAATATATATTATTGTATTTCAAGTGCAAAGTGTCTTAAAACAGTATATTTAATTTACATTGTGAATAACTGGGTCAAAGAGACTCGCAAGGAACAACAATATGTGATTCTGACCAAACTTCTGCCATCCTCTCTAAGCCATAAGCCCATTGTCTACAACTGAGAATGTAAAGTGGTTTACTTATGTACTACAAGTTGTGAAAAATCCTTGCATTATTGAAATGTAAGTAGTTTTTGCTTAAAATCCACCACTGCAAATTAAAGTACCTCTGTCATGACTCTATAGCAGAAAATGGTTCACAGAGGAGCTTTATCAGAACAAACAGATGACTCCAGCTACATTTGACCTGTGTTTTCAAGTCTGAAACTCTAAGCCTAAAAAAAAGCACCCAGCTTAGTGAAACAGCAGTAACCTTAAAGTTTCCACTGTAAAAACTCTAATAAAACATCACCTCAGCTCTAAAAGAATCAGGAGGGATAGGCTACACTGGACAAATTGACCCATGACTGTAATATCTTCCCAAACACAGACAGAAACAGTCTCTCTCTCTGAAATACCAGCTCTCCTGGAGCTGTGTGATTGGTGCCTCGAATGCCCCTGAGCTGCAGCTGAGGACAGTGCGTGCCGGTGGGTGTTCACCCTGCACTCTGCCTTGACTTTGATTTGACACATGCTCTGCGGAGCCAAGGCGCCAGCACTGGGTGGGTCTTCACACAGACAGCGAGGCGACATCACCTAATGGCCCTTATCTCAATCTCCTTTAAAAGCATCTTGTGTTCCCTGCCATCTTTTCACCTCTGCAAAACCTCGCTTTTTTTTTTTTCATAAACCATCCGTCCCCGTCTCCTCAGTGGAGCATCAGTCCTATCCTTTGGCGGCTGGGGCCGGGCCGCAGGGCCCTCTGTGGTTTTAATGGGCATTAACTGGGGGACTGTTGAGGATAAAGTGCTACAAAACCACAGTGAGGCTCTATGGGAAAAGGTGCATGTGAGACCATGATTACAGACATACATTTTGTGTATGTGTATCTTATAAAAGAAATTGATTGAGCTGCATGCGGCTGCCCAACACGCTCTTGAGTTTTCTCTGCACTCGTAACTTCAGTGCACCAATGATGCTGTGGGGGAATATATAAACCTGCTGAGAAAAATACAAAGTAGGGCTGCACAATACATCACAATTTCTTATTCTTTCTAACATTGGTAAATGGACCCGAGATTGTATAACCTTTTGCTTTTTACACCGCAGGTCACACCTACACATTCAAACACTGATGGCAGAGGCAGCGGTCTTGAACAAGGACACTTCGACTACATACTGAGGATCGAAACAACGGACCTTCTTATTGAGAGTCGAACGACGATGACTGAGCCACAGCCACCTCACCGGAGTTTCCTTCTTGGATGCCAAATGTAAAGATATTCCCTGCAGTCTTTCTTCAGAAATCACACTCACAATTAGACGGACATAACGGGCAGGAAGGAGTTTCTCCAGAACATTATGATGGCACAGTTCATAACTTCATCATTTTATTCTACTACACATCTGTATGAATTTTTCATTATTAGCATATGAGTTCTAGTGTTAAATCATCCTTTGAGAGATCACTGTCCTTTTTTTCCAACCCAAATCTCCCACATTCATCCTTTGGTCCAAGTGTGAGTTCCCTCAAGGCTTCCTGAGAAATCCCATTCACAATAACGGGAAGGCTAGAAAACCAGAAAACAAAATGATCTTACAATGCAACACATCCTTTTGTGAATGTTTGCCTTTCATTGTTTCTGTGAGGGCCGCAAACAGAGCCTTGAGGTACACCTCCTTGAAAGGTTGTCAAAATGTTTGATGTTTCAACACGTTTCAATACTATTAGATACTCTGTGTTTTAAAACAATGCAATCTACGTTATTTTTAATGGTTATAAGTATTGGAAAAGACCAAAGTAAAAAAAAAACCTCAATATCTTCATTCAGATTTTAACCAAAAGCTGTTAGTTGATATTGTTTGTTGATAGTTGATATTAAGTGTAAAATTCTGGTATCGCAACAATCCTACCTGTGCCTCACTGCTCTCTCTGCCTTTTGCATGAGGGGCTTATAACCATGATCTGGACACACTGAACAGGGATTTCTGAAGATGACCTATCCTCTGTATGTTGCCTACACACACAAAAATACACACACATCCCAGGGCAGACGGGACTCAGCGGCACCAACGAGGCCTCCACGGGCTCCAATTAATACCCAAGCCCTTCATATCCCCTCATCTCCTCATCTTTAAGAGCTGACTGCAGATTAAATATTAATGTGTGTGCATAGAGAGAGCGATAGAAGACTCCTACATGGCTATCAATAATAAAAAAACATTGCACAGCTCGCAGTCGCTCCTCGGCTGGCAGAGCAGGCTGACAAAAAGGAAGGTAAACTGAGAAAACAATGAGGCCCAGAGTCTTAGCTCCCCCCTTTCAGTTTGGATGATGGTGTCATCAGCTGTTGGAGCAAGCAACTAGATAGCAAGCAAACAAGGACAGTGGAAGAATGAAACAAATGATCACTGCAGGTGAAACAGTGAAATGCACGTTTAACACAAACAATGCAAATATGCCAAAGGCAAAAACAAAATTTGCCAAGGGCAGAACGTAACAGTAAAGGTTCACAGTTTGTGATAAAAAAACAACAACAACATATTACTCAGCACAGCAAGACACAGATTGTAAGTGATACCTGAATTTAATTATATTATATATTTCCTTTTGAAAGAGATGAAGAGGTTGTCCCGAAGTTAAAATTAACTTCACGGTTTGGGATTTAGAAGGGAACAATCTGTTGAGTTGAGCTCAGTTGGTAGAGCGGTCGCAGTATGTACAGAGGCTACAGTGCTAAGTTTGATTCCTTGTCCCGGCTTCAGCAGTCCTATCAAATAAAGGTAAAAAGATTTCTGTTGTGATCGGTCACTATATAGTAATGTTTTTTTCAAAACCAAGTGTTTAAGAACGATATATTTAGATGTTCAATTATATTTTTGATTATAAAGCTGCCATGAGCGAGAAATTGAGCAGAAGTTTGCCTGCATTGTAATTAAAAACAAGAAATATACCCAATCTTAAGTGTCGATTTAATTTTTGGTTGTTGTGATTTTGAAAAAGGTAACAATATTGCTTGATTTATACTAGAATTTAATCAAAGTTCAAAATTCAGATTTTGTGACAACCCCAAAGGTTAAAAAAAAGATTGATTAATTAATCAAATAAAAATTTGGTTTCGCTAAAAGTGAGATTTTGTTAAGTCAGATGATTTATTGCTTGATACCTCAGGATCAAATATTAGCATGCCCTTTTTTATAGGGGGTATACCTTTTTGTTGATTAAAATATTTTAATTATGTCTTCCTTTCATTATTCATTACGTAGGGTTTTTTTCTATTCCTACCTTACATGTGTCGTGCTTCCCACAGTAAATATGTCCACTGACCAAAATTGCTAATTGAAGTAACACATAACATGTGCAATGTGGACAAACACACAATGATAAATGAAAATCCACTTAACCCTTAGTAAGCTAAAGTGACAACTGAGCTCCAGTGGACATTAATTATTCATGAACAAAAACGCACAGCAGACAAAGGAGAACAAAGTGTCTATGAGTGCGCTCTCACAGGCGCCCTCATTAACTGAAAGAGGATACAGTTCTGTGAGGATGACGCCATTTAACAAGTACTTGACAAGTACCTCTATTGATTAGTCTTGATCTATTGTAACATACAACATTGCCGACAGCTGCCTCTTCAAGAATGAGATCTGCTGGAATCCAGTCGAGGCTTTGAAAACTGTAACTTGCTTTGTATAAGTTGTTAGAAATGCCTTTAAAGAACTAAAGCAGAGATTATCACTCCACTCTGTTACAGTTTATGTTGCGGTGTCTTGCGCCTCCAAGTGGTGAGACGTCCAAATTTCTGTTTCAACCAGAAACAATCCATCATGTCGATGACACTCAAAGTGTAAATTAAATTTACATCCACGACGAAGCCTCATAAGGCATCTTAAAGCATCTTGTTATGAAATCCTCAAACAGCTGGGAATAAAACTACACATGGATGCTGTGGATCAGTGGTTGAGTCGGTTGTCTCTTAATCTGAGGGTCAAGGGTTCAATCCCCAGCTCCTGCAGCCACATGTCTGATGTGTCCTTTGGCAAGACACTTAACCTCAAGATGCTCCTGCTGCTTCGTCTGTGTCAGTTGAATGTGTATGAATGTGATTAGTTTATAATACTGATGGTCACTTTACACAGCAGCCTCTACCATCAGGGTGTGAATGTGTAGGTGTGACCTGCGGTGTAAAAGCCCTCTGAGTAGTCAGAAGACTAGAAAAGCGCTATACAAGCTCAAGTCCATTTACCATTTACCTTGATAAGTGAAAATCCTGCTTCACAGTACAGGACTATGTTGGCTGTCAGTCAAAACTTGCATTCTCACTTGTACTGTTCATTATTGCAGAAAATAAATACCATAAAGCCCATGAGTATCTTAAATCTGACTCATAGTGATTCATATGTAAATTAACATCCTATTTCACTGTTTTGTGAAGGTGTGATTTGGTGGTGGATTTACCTTGTAAGAGGGCAGAAAGCAGAGCACGCCCTTTGCAACAACCTGGCAGATGTGGAGAATCAGAGCGCCGACCTCGTCCTGAAAGGCGTATGTTTCAGAGTGTTGGAATGTGGCGCACAGTTTTCTGCCTTGGGGTCCTGCGCCAACAGTGCCCACCCAAACCTGAAAAGAGGGGAGCAGAAATGTTAGGTTATCAACGGCCCCTACACACATGTATCTCTTCGTTTTAAGCCTTTTATAAAACATAATATTTAGTTCTGATGTGCACTGCTAATTTTCTTCAGAAGCTTAGCAGTGCAGGGTGACAGTTTCCTCAGTCCTCTTATGATCCTCGGCCTGACCTGCATCATACTTCACGTAATCTTTAACAAATATAAATCCAAGTAACACAAAAATAGCACTCATTGCTATGCAATCGATCATTTTGTGTCTGACAAGATGGTATAACTCTGATTTTCCACAATCCTGTGTGTCCTTGTTGTAACACTAACTCACTGTGTCCTTGCTGCCCTCCTAAATCTAGCACAATTAAAAGCACCACATCTGTCTGGCCTTCAGTTTAGTTTCACAGCAATCAAATGGTTGGACTGTGACATCTGCTGGACAGAGGTGGCACTGGGAAATTTTTTGATACACCCTTAGCGTAGATATCAGAGTTCTTCCAACTGACACAAGAGCATCTACATTTCCCCACTTTGACTAACCTTTTAAGATCTCGACCTCATGTAGACTGTTTTCAGAGATTAAACTTTCTTTTAGGAAACTTGGAGAACTTGATTCAAAAAAAGAAAACTTTCACTATTTCCATAAAAATCAACTTAGATGCGTTAATGGACACCCTTATGTCAGTATTTAACCCGACAATAAAAGTAGTTGGCTGTGCCGGAAATCACATACTCAGCACAGATGGCAGTAGAGGAGTATAGTGAGCTAATATAGTTATTTATTTCTTCTTAAATGTTTATTTTTGGGCTTTTTATGCATTTCTTCTAGAGACAGGACAGTGGAGAGAATAAGGAATTAGGATTTGAATTAGGATTCAAAACTGGGCCGTCCGCATCGAGGACTATAGCATCCGTACACGGGGCACGCGCACTAACCTTTAGGCTACCAGTGTAACAACTTTGCTTATCTCTCCTGATGTCTGTTATGAAAAAAATTGTATATGTAGTATGTGAGATGGGTACAGACGTACAGCATCTGCACAAATGATTAAAAACAGCTGAATGTTTTTGTTTTTTTTTATCTATTTTTATTGAATGGTTTTAAAAATTAAAACAGAAACAGGCAATGGGAAAAAAATACAAGGAAAAACTCTAAACATAAATTATTCAGAGACTATATGTTCCCATGCCTGCTTGCAAGTTCCCACAGCTTGAGACACTACTGACCTGGGACTTGTTGATAACATGGTTGGCCTCTAGCTGGATGGTGAATTTCACACCGAGTTCAGAGGAGAAGGAGCCCATGGGTGATAGAGTTCCTGATGTTAGCACAATGCTGTGAACCGACCCACTCAGGTCAGAGAAGGCCTGCCAGAAACAGACGCAGAAGTCATTAATGACATAATCAAAATGTATGATATCAGAGATATAATGTGGTAAAGAAAAGCTGTTTTAGCTCCCATTTTAATGAAGTCATTAGCGCTTTAGTTTTACAGTGTGATTTTAAATTATGCTACAGTGTTGCAGAAGCACAAGAGGCACAACATGAAAAAACAGCTGGGGCTTCACATACACGCACACAATCGGACATTCACTCAAAAGAGTTTAGTTCAATTAGGCGACAAAAAGATTAGATGCCATCACCCTCGCTAGTCAGCCCAGAATTACATGTACCGTATTTTCCGCACTATAAGGCGCACTTAAAAGCCTTTAATTTTCTCAAAAAACGACAGTGCGCCTTATAATCCGGAGCGCCTTATATATGGATCAATTGGTTAATTGGTTGATCCATACTGGTTGTACACGGCGCTCAGCGACACTGACTCGGATAATGACGAGAGGGAGCCGGGCATGTTGGATGCCGTACTCGCCCAACTGTTCAATTCAGACACTGAAGAAGAAGAATTCGAGGGATTCGTGGACGGGGAATGAACTGAAAAAGTGAGCTTTACGTGTTATACGTAACTGAACAATGTTGAGTTATGCACTAACGCAGGGGTGCCCAACCTTTTTTGAACCAAGATCTACTTTTAAAGTTACCAGTCTGCCGAGATCTACCAGTCCACATAGTGAGCCATAGCCTTTACCAACAGCCTACAAACGCATTTAATACTCACACAACAAACAGAAAATAATAAATGAGAGTTCTGTAAAAAATAATGCAGACTACAGACTACAGCAGGCTGCTGTGAGATGATTTTGCTTTTGTTAAATTAGCTGCAGACACAGTGAGAGTGAACGGAGTAAAGTCCAACCGACTGTTTGACCGGGTCACGTGTGTTCCCACCTCGGTCCGTACGGATCACGGATCAACTGTGTGCTGTAGCACTAAAGGTAAAAAGTAAAAAGGTTCGCGTGGTGGCTGGCGCTCCAGTGCAAGTGTGTGTGTGTGCGTGTGCGTGTGCGTTTGCGTGTGCGCTGTTTGTTGGTGTGTCTCGTCCCCCGCCATGCTCACAGTCATGACAGCAGAGAGGAGCAGAGAAAAGTAGCTGCAGCTTCATCAAATGCGCTTAATACTCGTAGCATAGTTTCTATATATGACTTTTTGGTAAAACATTTACCCCCCCGGTTTTACCTGCACGTCATTGTGCATGCCTGCACTCTCTCTCTCTCTCTCTCTCTCTCTCTCTCTCTCTCTCTCTCTCTCTCCGCCGCTCGCTCTCTCTAACACGCAGCAATTTCATGAATAAATGAAAAATTAAATACACACAGGTCGGAAGTATACTTGGGCTCCCAACACAGGTATCGTGTGTGGGAAACAGTGCAATGAGATGAAATTGAAATCACTTTTCTATTTTACAATTGTATTTTATATTGACAAAACATCTCGCGATCGACTGAGAATCAGTCAGCGATCTACCTGTCGATCGCGATCGACTGTTTGGGCACCCCTGCACTAACGTTTGAATTAGCGGTATCAGACTGTGTTTCTTTTACGTGTTTACAACTGAACAAGGCTGGGAGATATTGTGAATATGCACATTAACGTTTGAACAACGTTGAGTTATTGTGAATGCACTACGTATAAAACTACGTTTTGAGAGTTAAGAGAAACGTCAAAGAAATAATTTATTATTTGGGGAAATCGTCTTATGTACTTTTGTTTTTGTAGTTTTATACGTTACGTTTTATACGTATTTATATTTATATATTCACAATATCTCCCAGCCTTGTTCAGTTGTAAACACGTTCTATTCTATGCGCCTTATAATCCGGTGCGCTTTATAGTGCGGAAAATACGGTAGGTTCAATCAATTACTAATTATTTTATTGAAATAGTCCCACAATGCTAATGAAATCCTGTGTCTAAGCTGTAACGCAGCCACCCGCAAATGGCCAGAAGGGTAGCTTCAGTTAATGGGCTTGCTCTCCCGGATCTATTGCCCTAATATAAACCAGTATAGTGGGTAGATGGCATCTTGTAGGAGCAGTAAAGGTAAACTGACATTTAGCCAGCAAGGAGGACCGAAAGCTTGTGGCGCTAACACTGTTGACGTTAGCCACACTTGGCAAACCAATTCTACATCGTTTACCTGCATAGTAACGCATGTTGCAAAGTGCCACAAGTTCAGGGGCATCTAAAATAGCAGTCAATTAAAGTTTTTTTTAGTCTTTAAGTTTACAGACTTCAGTAAAAGATGAGTGTGGTCTACATGGCAGGCTCTGCCACGTCTAACCTCTCACCACAGCGGGATTAAGGCACCAGAAGTTGAGCGTCAGGACTTCAGTCTTGACTCGGCTGCTCTGACGTTGTCTCTGGCGAGGTCGGACAAAGTAGCCCTGCGCGTCGGGGACATCAGGCGGGACCTGGTTTGTCCACGCGTAGCTCCTCTGCAGAGCCACCCGGTAGTCGTCAGCAAACCTACAGACACACAGAGAAAAGCCGATTGGCCTTACGATTTGTATCGTCTGAAATATGAACTGGTATGAGTTGTGTTATAGTTGACTTCTGCTGTTGGTCTCTGACCTGCAGTTGTCTCTGAAGAGGAAGTCCAGGACCACAAAAAGGCTTTTGAGGACGGTGGAGGTAGCTGAGCTGATGGTTGGGACTTGCACCATGTCCTCTTTACCGTTAATGACACCAACACGCTCCTCTTTCTCCAGCACTGCGGCCAAGTTTTGCTGTAATACAGAAACAGAAGGAAATGTATGTGAGAAACTGAAAGAGACTATTACGACTAAACTCTCTCAACGAGCCATCATTGCTGTTCTTTGCTTTAAATCTAAAAGCAAACAACGAAAAATCTTTGTACCAAATGACTCATGAGGTGTTTAAGTGGTAACATGTTGTAGAGACATTAGCTGTACCTTCAGGATGTCAAAGGTGTCAGGAGTGATACCGAGGCCGTGAAAGATTCCCAGTATGTCCTTCCCACTCCAGACTTTAGAGGCACTCTCGTATCCCCGTTCAGACAGAAGGCTTTGGCTCTCCTGGATCCAGCTACACCATAGATGAAAATACTTCCTTAGCACATACTGTATCTGTTCACACAATAAGCACCACAGATGTTATAGGGATAGTGCGGGTTGTATAAGGTACTTTAAATAGTAAGTGTCGCACTTACAGTAGATAACAGTGAGCCCGATTGGAAAGCTAAATGGATGCTAGGCTTTGTACCTCAAAGTCTCACGCTGTGATGGACATGTGCGAAAGGGTAACTCAGGGAGATTTCCGGGACAGGCTGTTCTGATATTTTCTAAACATCTTCAGATGTGCATGGGTGAAAAGTCTAAGAGAGAATGATGATCTGTGCAGACATCGGTCGAACATGTAGTCCTTTTATTACGCTTAAACTTTGTGTATTTCATGATCCTGTCTGCAGTGGTGCTTAGCTTAAATGTTAAAACTCCAGCCGGCTTCTTCAAACAAGGACTGTACCGACTATTATCTACTGCGAAATACATTTGCAATTGATAAGTGCCTTATACAACCCAACTTGAAAGAACCTGAACCATCCCCTTGAGCAGCATTAGGTTACCAATGGACTTACTTGATGAGACTGTAACAGAAGTCTCTGAGCGGCTCATGTTTGGCGGCTCTGATGTTGCTCTTGACCATCCCATCGAGATCATCTCTGGACATCATCAGACTTTTGTTGTCTAAATTATAGCTGGCACTCTCCCTCGCACAGTCCTCGATGTTGTGGGCCTCGTCCAGCACCAAGATCTGGCCGGCAAGGTCGATCTCCATCTGGTGAAAATTAAGACAGAAAGGGAAATATCAGAGGGAGTACCACAAACTTTGGGTCCTTCTTTTTTTTCTATGATTCTTCTATCCTTTTCTTTCACACTCTACTCACGCTCTGTCTGATCACCGGGTCCAGCAGGTAGTTATATGGGCAGAAGATGATAAAGGCGTCCTGCATTAATTCCCGAGCGGCATAGTAGGAGCATGAGCGGAGCCGTTTGCCCAGAGAGACCAGGTCTTCAATGTCCCAGGCGTGATTGAGTCCGTGGACTCTTTGTAGCACGGACTGGTCCCGTATCCTCTGCACACCGTGGTAGTAGCGACAAGATCTACCCTGTAACATTGTATTTCATTCAAAGAAGGACAAGGATACAGCACTGCTGATATGTGTAGACACATAGACAAAACACACACTGACAGTAATTCTAGGATTTTCTAACATATCTGAGCTGTTTTATTATTTGTTTTCTGGTTTCCAGTTGTATGATGAAGAGCAGGTATGCTCGAAAACATCACCCTAGTGAAATACATTTCTGGAATATTGGAGCCCTGCAGTCTTTCTCTTTGTTTCCACTGGTTTCCAGTTGAACCAGAGGTGACTTACAGTATTTCAGACGTGATCTTGCTGCTTCCTGTGATCAGGTGTTGCAGCTATTGTAGCACCTTACATGTGCTGAAACTCATACAGTGTATGTAAAAGGCGTGTAAAGAAGCAGCATCTCATGTAATGATGGCCAATTACTCTGTCAAAGCAGGTGTCTGCTTTAGATGTCCCACCCTCTTCTTTATGGGTTCACCAGCTGGAGGTGACACTGTCTCTTGTGAAAACGGTACACTGTGGACTCCGTAACCTTCAGACACAATAGTGATGTAAGGATGGCACTGTCTCACAATGATATGCTAAGCTGAGACACTTTGATGACACTGAACCCTGTCTGCTAAGAGTAAGGGGGTTGGAGGGATTAAAGACAATGAAGCAAAAGTAATGAAAGGCTGGACTTCTTAGAGAGCAGTTTATATAGCAGGCAGATTTATGCCAAGAGATAACCTCCAGGGATGAAAGATAACGCCAACATGGAAGGGCCAGAAACTGCAGGTTGTGAAGAGTCCACTTATTATACTAAAGGTCTGTCTTACTATGAGGGAACTTCTACTATTAATGAATTAATGAATTAATGAATTAATTATTGCAGCTTTGGTACTTTTTGATTCTATCGATCAGTAAAATAACTGTGGCTGTGAAATTTTAAAACAAATCAAAGTATACATTTTCACAACCTTCATTCCTACAGTCTGTGGTTAAGATTGAACGCTGACTGATGTGTTTCCCTGTGCTTAAATCACTGCGTCTGTACAGCATAGAAACCTGACCCTGACCAGACTACACCCTGGGGTGATGAAGACACAGAGCATCAGTAACACTCACTCCAGTGAGGGGTTATGACTCGGCCATATGACAAAGTGAGACAATTGCCATGGGAGGCAAACACCTCCAATGACAGCGTAATTGTCCTCATTACAGTAGGCGCCTCAACTTTAGGACAGTATGGGGGGTTACAAGTGTCTCATGTCTCTATAAAAAGCTCCCTGAATGGCTCGTGACATTTCGGTGTGTCAAAAAGAGCCTGCTGGACCAATTGTTGATATTGTAGCTGAATAATTGCTGCTCTGGGGCGACATTGTTAGAGGACTTTTGTCTGGGGGAGCCAGTTACATTTATGTTTGTGTTAAAGGGTGACAGAGGGGGATAAATCTAGGGGGATCAAAAAGCTCAATTATATTTTGGGTCTGTTTTACTGTGTCATTCAGAAGCTGGTGTCAGGCTTTATCCTGGTTCTAAAAAGTCTTGTCCCAATATGGTTGTCAACATTTTCAATACTTGTATACCTGTTGGTAAAAGACCGGTCTCAGGTGATGTGTTACCTAAAAGTTACACTGAGGTTTAATGTGAATATATGTGTTTGTTGGTGTTCATCCTCACATCTTTTGCATCCAGAAGGTCCTTGCAGCGTTCATTACGGTTGGCGTGAGGCGCCACCTCCGGGTTGACACAGGTGTGATCCCGGCTGGATAAGATGGTCATAGGTGTTCCCGAGTACACAGTGCGCTTCAGCTCGTGGGCAATCTGAGTTATCTGTTTGTGTGTGCGAGTGCCAAAGAAGATCTTTCTAATCTTTTTTTTGCCTTCTTGGTCCTTGTCCTTCGGGCCGTCTTTGGTTGAAGCACACGAGCAGCGGGAGCAGGGTTCAGAGGACTGGAGAGAGAGAGACAGAAGCAAAAACAAGGAGAAAGGTCAATCAATAAATCAAACTTTATTTATATAGCACCTTTCAGACTAATTAAATTGCAGTTAAAAGTGCTTTACAAGAGTGCAGAAAAGTTACTGACGAAAAAGTAGTTTATAAAATCATTGAGAGACTAACTTAATACAGAACCTGCTGTGTCCCAGATCTGGGTCTGTAAAAAGCTACAGTACAAAAGCTTTCAAATACTTGTTGCTTCATTTAACACGTCCGAAAAGGAGTGGGTTTAGAGTTTGTTTGCTTTGGTGATTACTGCGTCACTCGTTTGTTTATGAGGAAGAGCCGTTAAGCAGGGTTTGGCCTACAGGCGGTGGCAGCTCTGTGTGGTAGAAGTAGGAGAAATGATGACTTGTTTTAGAAACAATATACATTTTTTTAACTGCAATGTCTTGTACTTTTTCCATTGTTATCCCAACATAGAGGTTTTGAGATTATAAACTGTTGCTGAAATCTCGTGAACGGTCCGAAGTCGAGGGAACGACTTACCTACTTGAAATCTGGGACCACCCAAGATACACATGAATGCAGAAACAGAGGGCAAACAGGTTTACAAACAAATTTATTTCTGCTGTAAAAAATTAGCATTTCAATATATATTTAATATGTGGTTTCCCTGACTTGTGCAGGACGCCTCAAGTGGACACTCAAGGAACCGCATCATTTTTTTATTCCACTGGTTTCTGACACATTTTGATAGAAAGGACGAGACAATCATCCCGATCATAAACTACCTGAGCAGTCTTTCTGGCTGTCTTGTATAATCCTCAGAAACACACATGGAGAAGCGTATAGAATTAGCATCCATACATAAGGTGTCCTGTCACTCAGCACCAGGTGACCTTTAGAGGCTGAAAGATGATCAGTCACCTTTGTGTCGGCTGAGAAAATCTAGCTGCTTCATAATTGGCTGACCAGTGACGTGGTGGATTCTTTCTCTCCCCACCTTCACAGGTGAAGTGTAGCCGACAACGCTTATGAAACTGATCCTGCTTATGTGTTGAGCTCTTTTAAGTGGCGTACTCTTTGACCATTCAGCTGTTCACATTCACATCCGATCACTATGAACATTTTCAGTTATAGTAGCAGTATTAGGAGTAGCGGTAATTTATTTAAATAGCTTTCATATATGAAATTATTTTTACAGGAGGAAAAATATAGTGACAGATAAGGATTCATTAATACTCCTTTCTAAATCAATTTTGGTCAATTAAAATAAAACTGTTTTGAAAACTGAATTTGATAACTCATCTGTTTTTACGAGATCAATAATTTAATTTAATTTTGTTAATATTTGTATTCTAATTGCTGAACTGAACAAAAACTAGACAATTACACTCACATCAGTATTAAACCACTGACCGTTTTTTTTGTGCACTGCACTTCTTATCTACTTATTGTAGGTCACATACTGAAGAGATGCTCCGATACACTTATTTCAGTTTCGATCCAATTCCGATACATATGTACCAATATTTACCATAATTAATATTTTTATTAATGCTGTTGGCATTAAGTGTAAGGCTACACATAGCTGTAGGAAAGCCAACATTGAATTTCTTATTAAAAGTGCAAAAGTATTATAAGAATAATAAATAAAAATGCATAAAAATTTATCATTCCAATTAAATTTATTTGAACCTTGTGCTGGCTTCACATACAAACAGGAAGCAGCAACAACAGTAAGGTTTTCAAATTAAATCGTTTAAACTGAAGTGTAAGAATTGTTCTTTTTTTAATCATACAGGAGCTGTTCCATCACGTCTGAACGTCGTCATGGAGACGATTTATGGGCACTTCTAACAGTTCAGTCTGAACGTCTTCAAAACGAGACTGTGCGAGCTGAAAATGTTTCAAGTGCCCAATTTTTCGTGATCAGTGAAGTGGATCGTTGCTGTCAATCCGATATTGAGAACAAGATTTGCATTTATAATAAAGCTTTTTATTTTGCATAAATCATTTTCATTTCAATAAATTGCAGCCTCTGCTTTTGGATATTGCCCTTGATTATGGTGCAATTTTAACAACGTTTTGATTATTTCTGCAGCCCTACTGTTGATAGAAATCTAACTCAACACAGTCAGTTGGTTAAATGGCAAATTAGCAAATAGTATCGCACCATGAGGTCGACATTGACATGCTCATTTCTTTAACTTTTTATCTGTTTTTATAGTTGGACTTAAGTTATGAAAATGAAAGAGATTAACATATTTGTGTTATTATTAAATAAACATAATGTAGATGCCTGACTAACATGTTTTAACGCTAATTCCTCAACAAGTTACCGAGTGATTCCACACAGGAATGAACGGTATGTGTTGTCACGCATGGCAAACTATGATGGGGATCAGAAGGTAGCACTTCTGATGACAGACGAGGAGCTCAAGTTTCCCCCGCGGCTCAGATTTTCCGAGCATGTTTGCCCATCAAATATTACAATGTGTGATGGAGTGTAGGCCAAAGGGAGCCCTTAGAGAGCCGCCTCTCAGAGTTAAGAGGGATAACGAGCCCTGAGCTCATGTGAAAAACAAACAGAGGTGCTGCAGGGCCCCAACACCAGTTCAGGTTACCTTTCTCCTCTGGAACAGTTACGCTCCACAGCCTGGGCCCTGAGCCCGATCACCTTACCTGCTGCTGCCACATTAAACAGAGCCATCCAAATATCCTGCCCCAAGATGGCTAATAATTACTTATTCATTGGCAGGTGGGGGGAGGAAGGGGTGGGATAGGGCAGTGTAGAAGGGCTTGCTGATGAATAGAGGCTCTTGTCAAAAGCTGCAGCAGGAAACAGCTGACACAAGAGTATCCTTTTACGCGCCTGCCTCTCGGAGATGCCAGGACAACAAGGTTTCAAGCCTGGCCCCACAGCCCGGAGCAGACACCCCCTGGAAAGGAATGTAGATAACTGGCAGAAGAGGCAAACGGGACGCCAGCTTTGCTTGCAACAAGAACATACTGATTCTTTCAGCGCACAGTAATTCCCGTGGTGTTGCTCCTTGGGTGCTGCTTTGTCCACCAAACTGCTAGAGTTGTTGGGATAAAACAATCTAATTTTGCAAAGCTATTAAGCCAAATATTAAAAAATGTCTGGCCTACTTCTATCGAACAGTGTCACTTTTTTTTTTAATTAACACTTTCTAATTTTACTGTATGATGGATTTAGTCCGCTTTTCAGAAGAGATTAGCTAGATAACTAATCAGGCCTTTCAGTAGAATGTCCAAAAATAAATTTGGTCAAAAACAAGATTTTTTAGCTGCTTCTACTAAATTTACCAACCAGGAACGTTTGATTAGTGGGAACGTTTCATCTGCAGTTAATTAAGCTGCAGTCGAAACCTTGTTGACACTGACTGAGAATACCTGAAAATAAAATCTGAGCTAATGTCATTAGCAGCAGCTCAGCTCACAGGCCCTCCTGCCCACCAAATATCATCAAAAAATCTATAATTTTCAACATGAAGTTGCTGTTTTAAGTGTTTTAGGAATGTTTATCCCTTTGTCAGTTTATGTGGTAGAAGAGGAGACCACTTGGGACAATTCAGCTAAAGAAATCTGATACAAAAAACTGAGAAATACTAGTGGCAGCTCAGCTCCCAGTCCCTCACGATTCCCTGTCCGCCAAGCATCATCAAAATAACAATCATTTTTAACAGGAAGTTGCTGTTTATCGTGTTTTACTCATGCTGATCACCTAGCTAATTTGAGAGAAGAGGAGACCTCGGAGGAGAGATCCTAAATGCTAAAAACTGGCAAACATTAGCAGCAGCTCGGCACAAAGCCCCAGGTGCCCTTTCAGCTCAAGAGCGTTGTAGAGACTGCTGTACTCAATGGGGATTTTGTGGTTTTCACTATCGTAATAATACAACAAAAAAAAGAGCCTTCTAAGACTAATATAGATCAATATGGGGAAAAGTGAATGTAGAATGTGGGAGCAGCATTTGACATGATCAGAAAGGTAGATTCTAAATGTATAGGTATAACACATTCCTCTAGGTTTACTGGCTTTCTTTGGATATATTAAGTTTACTTCGTACAGGCATACCAAGTTTCCGCAGTACACCTACACTCCAAAGGTGTAAGTGTATGCAGCGGCTAAAGCTCTCTTGAATTGACAGAACAGAGGTCAGTGGTGTTACTGAACACCTAAGAATATTCACAGGTAGGCTTCTGTTGCTCTGCTCCCTGCCAACACCTGAGAGATGGAAATCTCACACTCCAGGGGGGCAGTTGGAGGGCAGCGAGGGGCCGTAGGCAGTGGAACACTTAGGTATCACTGGCGCCTCTCACTGGACACCTCTCACTGGACGCCAATTTGCTCCTCATTCCACAGCTTTGGAGGGCTTGGAATTCATTCCAATAAGGGTGGGCTTCAATAGCCAATACCTGGGAAGACATGACACCAAACACCCCACCTCTACTGATATGACCACACTATGAAGGTAGGGGCCCTGGCAAGTATCTGCCCTCCGAAGCACCTGTTTATCCCTCGGGCGCAGTAACCAGCGGGTGAACCCCATTCAATATTTATCCCCGTGGCTTTCACAGATCAGCGGCCCAGGCGAGGCAAACCCTCTTAATTAAAACTGGAGCTTGCTTCAAAGGAGCCCATTCAGGCCGTCAGTCAGCGCTCGCGGGACAAAAGAGCCCAGGTCATGTAGCTGCAGGGAAACCAGAGCCCGACGCGCCTGTTCGACTTCACTTTCCCTCCTCCTCTTTTTCCACCTCCCACAATCCGAAGCTCTAAATCCAAACCGCACACCTGTGGCAGGTTAAGGCTCAGTTTTAGCAAGTTCAACTATTCCCCCTGAGCTGTGTGACACAACTCTATGACTGAGCATTTGATTGACTAATAATCAGATCATGTATTACCTGTTAGTCTTTCGCACCAGTACAGATCTTAGGAACGTGGGTTACAAACACAGCAGATACAGACAGTGATAAATATTTATATTTGATGCACTTGGGTTTGTCTGACTGAGGTGATGATTTAACACAAGATGCTGATTTTTCTCTGTAGGACCAAACACTTTCAACAAAATGAGTTAATTATGAATGCTCAGGACTACCAATAACATTTCAGTAACCATTTATTTTTCTAATAAGCTTCAAGAACATCTTTGACTGCTGCACTTTCTGAATAAAATGGTACTTGACTTTGTCCTCTCAGGGTCCTCCCACCTTCTGGGAGTGCTTTAGAGAGGTGATGATCCAAATATGTAATCGCTGTAGAATTCTTAGTTTGAATTGTGTTTTACTGGCAGGTGTGTTTGGGTTTTTACATTTGAAATACATTACAATGACTTTATACACTCATCATTTATCCATCTTTTCATTATTCAGCTGCTTAACAAGCTCTGATAAAACAGCATGAATTTGGCACTGCACTTTATTGAAATCGCCAATTGGCGTCCCTGACATGTAAAAAGGCGATGCTTTAATCGTGTATTTTTCACAATTTTTCTGTCATATTTGTTGTGTGCTGTCATGCATGGTCACTGCTGTCTTTTATGTTTTTATTCTATTAGTGCAAGACAAATTCCCCTCAGAACAATACATTTTTCATCCGTTCATTAATATGTTGATGTAATTTAGTACACAGTTTACCAGATTAAACCTGCATTCATTTTCTTTTTTTTTTATTTGAACAAAAAACACTACAAGAACAGAACAACACGTTCACCTGTAATGTTTATATATTAAATGTTTATAGTTTTATCTCAGTTATTATTTTCATTTTTAAAACTAACTGAAGTTTTCATAAAGACATAACTATCTGCTTTGTTCAAATGTGTTTAGGCCCACTCAAATTTGAAACTTTCAACACAGACCTGGTCTATTTGGTGGAGTATATCGCCACCTAGTGGTAATAGTTAATGGTGATAGTGAACTCCTGGGCCAGGACACAATAAAATAAGGCTTAAATCTGGAATACCAGACTCATCGATGCCAGGGTTACTACTCTGTCTTCATGTTTGATTAAATGTTTTATTTCGACAAGTTATTATTGGCAATATTGCAAAAAAAAGGGAAGTCTAACTAAACAAGAATGATGATAGAATATAAAAAAAAATGGGTAGGATGATGATATGTCATTTATGACACTGAAAGTGTGTTTTCACAAAAGACATTGAAATATATCATTGTAAGAGATGCACAGATTTAACTGATGACACTCAGGATGTCTGTACTCACACAGCATGATGATGACCAACCCTGTGCCGGGCTGTTTGGCTCTACTGTCCAACTCGGAGGACCTTGTGACTCGTTCTCCTGCTCATCATCATCATCTATAAAAACGACTCCTTGCTCCAGACGCTGCCTCTTACGGCTCTGAGGAATAAACAGAAACATCCCTGAGTCACTGAGCTGCTTTCTGAACCAGTGGACTGTATAAGCACAACTTCAACAGAGATTTTGATAGTTTGGTATCAAATTACAATCCTTGGAATTTCATAATGTGCAACAAATAGTCAAACAGAGGCTGTTCCTGGGTATTTTTCATTTATTTTAAAGATTCATTTTAGCAACATTCTTGTGTATTGAGATCACAATTCTCTCACAAATCTTTTTTTTTTCTTGCAAATAAAAACATGTGCTGCCGAGTCTGTGGTCTGATTAATGAATTAAATAATTGTTTTGCTTCACGCTGTGTAAGTGTGACTGATATAGCAACTGGGATAGTTGTGAAGCAAATAAGTGAACAGGAGAACTGTTCTGAATGCATATACAAGCGAAGTGAATTGTAGAAATGAGATTGTGATTTGTTTTTTTTTTTACGAATAATCACGCAGCCCTACATGACACTGAATTTATTTATTTTTTTTAAATCTGTATTCATGTGCTACAGAGTGAACAAAGGGTTTACTATACCTTGGTATCGGCAGTGCGAATGCGTTTCCTTTCTGGCTGGAAGTCGTCGTCTTTCTCGCGCTCAGAGGAGGACTGACCAGTAAGGAAAGACTGGAACTTGTCAGACAAACGAGAGGCGATGGTCTGCTTCTTGAGCTGCGGCTCCTCTGGTACCGATCCTGAAAGACATCAAGTGTTAAAAACACTATCTTTTAATTTCACTGCATAGAAAAGTTTCTCTGTTTACATGGAAGTTGTATGCTGAAAAGGTGAAACAAAACCAGCCCTAAACTCAAATGTAACAAAGAATTGAAAGATTATTACCATGTCCAGGTGCTGGAGATGCCAGCTGTGCTGTGTCTTTGCAGGGTGAATCAGTGAGGTCCACAACAGGAGATTTGGCAGCTGGTGTAGCTGTGGTCCTCTTGGTGTGGCTGTGGCACTCACACTGACAGGGGGTAACATCTGACTTCTTACAGTCTCCAAAGCTTTTATCTGCCTGGCTCTTGAACTCTCCAAGGCTCCCTCCTTGTTGCAGTTTAGCTGTGATCACATATTGAAACACAGAATTCTCTTACAGTGACAATCATTATAAGCTGGTACAAGCAGTACCTCATCATTTTCTATTTTGTTTCCTTTGGTTAGAACTGACTCACCACATTGAGCATGCTGCCATCCCAGGGAGGAGCACAGCAGGGCCAAGCTTTTCCCACTCCCCGTTGGACTCTCCAGCAAACAGTGCTGCCCATAGTTCAGGCCTCGTACAATCTGCGAACAAAATTTAGACAAATTAGTTTTAGAATTTAGACGTATCTGTTACAATCTGAGGTTTGTGTCGCCTTTTCAGTGATTATTTTGACAACCGTTGAAATGCAGGTCTTAAACAAAAACTAGGTACATTTACCAATCAACAATGAGACAGAAATACCTCTACACTGACTTCCTAAAGTAATTTCATGGCATTTACCCTTCCTTTCAGAGAGTGAAAAAGTAGGAAAGAGACATCAAGGGACGAGGGGATAGACATGGGTCATACTCAGTGACAGGCCTTCAAAATCTGCGTTGCTGAGGTTTGGAAACTTTAAATAGTTCTGGTCACACAGTTTGTGAAGACAAAACTTTGCATTAAACTCTTTCTTACATTTTCTCTGTGCCATAACACAGAGATACACTACACAAATACATTAGCAACATTTCCGTAAAGAAAAACATTGCCAGTGTATTTATATTACATATAAATTACAATCAGCTTTACAGCTGTACAAGATGAGTTTTTGAAGGTGTTACTTACAGAGTTCATCATGGCCAGCTGGGAGGGGTAAGCTTTACAGGGGAAGTTGATCTTCACCCCTCCAATGGTGTACTCCACTGGGGATGTAGCCATTTTCCTGTATCATTAAAAACAAGAAACATGTATGATAAGGTTTGCACTATTCACTTGTCAATTTTAAGATGTATGTTTGGTGTACTTTGTGTAAAACCCTCAATGCATGTGATAAGGTACTGTAATTATGACTGTAACATTAAAATGAAATGATATAGTGCCTATATAGAGTGCAACATCACTGAGGCTTTGTGTGTGTATCACTCTGTCGAGGCCAGGTGTTCTGAATTCATGTAATTAAACATTACAGTAGATACAGTTTGTCCTGATTCATCTAGCTGGTACCTCTGTATCACAAAACAGACTCTTCTTAGAGTGGCTGCATTGTCAATGAAAACATAAAAAAGAGAAGTACATAAGCAAGTAGCAGGTCTGTGGTAACCATGGAGACCAACAGAGTGTGCAGGAGACTCTTTGGGTGGCAACAGGTCAGTTTTAGTTAAGATGTTTTGGTGGATGTTTTTAATGCTGGTCCTACAGCTGTTGTATAAAAACAACATCACACGTGGGGTCCAGTTGAATTGATATTATCGGTACCAGCTGCTGTGATTATGATATGGTACATCATGCACTTCCGTGTGATATCGTTTAGCAGCAAACAACAAAATGACACGCTTAACACTCTGAAGAATGCACTGATAGTTACTTTAATAAATGTGTTCAGCATAACTTACTTACCTGACAGTTCAGAAACAGATACTTGCTAACTTTTTAAGACAGTTACCTAACAAGAGCTAAAGCTACAACATCCATATGCCATGGTTATACTGGAAACACTGGTCTCATTTGGCGAACACACGCTGTTTATCTCCATGTTACATTCCCCATTCGTCTTCCCGCTTTAACAGAAAACATGTTTGACCACTAGCCCGGAAGTTAGCCGAAATACACAGTTGTACTTCTCATAATTGCCTTCAAAATAAAAGCATGTATTCGAAAAATAGAAGAAATAACAGCATACTTGTAGTATTTTATTCATGGGAGGATTATCTCTTCGACTTACGACAGTTTTATGAAAAGAAAAAAAATCTATAAATCCTTTTGACCATTGACAAGGTATGATTTAGGCTTTTATTTTAAATAACTTTGACGTACTGGTGGCATATTGACAAAAGCGGAAGTGACGAGTATAAACATCCGCACAGGTCCTGTTTCTCTGGAATTTTACAGGTGAGTTAATTTCAATATTTACTATCTATGGTCAATTTGTACGCAAGTGCTAGGAAGTGAATGACAGCTCAACAGTTTAAAGGAATAATATAACTTGAATGGTTAAATCGGCGAAATAGTATTTCCAAAATAACATTAAAAAAACATCCCGTAAATATCATGAAGTAATTACTTTTTTCGCCACCAAAGTTTTTTTTTAACTTCAATCAAATCACCTTAAACCAGCCCCTATATTTTTCATATCATAACTACTGCAGAGGCATGCCCAGGCAAAGCACTCATCACCAGGCAGCCGCGCATGTGCAGAAAGGCTTTACTAGGTAATGCAACAGATTCATCATGGATAAACTAGTGATGGAAATTCCGTCTCTTTTTAGAGAGCTGGATCATTTTCCTCATCTCAGCAATAAGAACCGGCTCTTTCGGCTTCTAAACTCTCTGTCTCTGTACCTTTTGGGCTTTATGAAATCAGCCAGATTTAGTATGTTTTGAGCTATGGTTGATATGTGTGCATGTGTTTTACTGAAATTATTCATTGTAGTTATACAAAGCTGTGTAATTCTCAGAATGATGCAATTTTACATGATGTATTTGTATAAAACATTAATGTCATACCAGCATGCAGGACAAACCTCCTGAATCTCAGCTTGGAGATGAATTCCATATGTTTATTTAAAAAAAGGAATAGTTTATAATCATTTATGATAAAGCAACTGATTTGCTTTCATGTGTCTTTTTTTTCAATAATATTTTTTTTTTTCAGCGGATCAGTTTGGCCTACTTTTTGTGATAACCACAATATGACGTTGCATTTTCCTGCTTTTTAAACCTTGTACTGATAATGCTGTTAATGGAAATAAAAACATCAGGACAAACTTCAGGACACAGAAATGTGAGGAAATATATCAATGCCAACACTGGTGACTGAGAAATGTGCTCTATATGCTTGTTTTAATGAATGATGGACATGCTGTATGCTTCATGTTAAAAAATTAAAATTACCAACATGTTGAACAAAAGGAACAAGAAATACAAAGTATTATATTTCTCAATATGGGATGTAAATAAGATGGTAGGGTCAAAATGCAAATACTCAGTTTTTTTCAATGAAAAAACAAACAAGCAGGAGTTCTTAACAATTAAATATAAAAAACAAAATTCTTGCAAAACATAGATTACTTGACACCAGGGAGATTTTTATTCTAAAAGGTTCATTTCCAGGTAAGTGTTTTCCACATTTACACTTAACACATGCACTTAATGCTATTAGCACAGCAGCCATCTGAATCAGGAATTCATAAATCAACAGAGTAAATAAACAAGTGGATTCAAGGGAATTCTCAAAATAGTTTTAAAATCACAGAGGGACCCAGAGACAACTAAAGACTGTAAGAGCTGAGGAAAAAGAAACATCATCATCAGCTTCAATCATTAAAATACACTTTTTTTACCCAGTTCATAATGCTACAAAGTCCGGTTTGAAATTGCACTTGGCTTAACAAAAATACATCATAATGTAACAAAGGTTCACAAGCGACATCGATCATAGTGTCTCATGGACAATATTCTCTTGCTGGGAATATTTTTTATATGAATTAAACATTTCTGGCAACAAAAACAAAAGGCGGAAGAGGACAAGGAAACACCAAGACAAACTCTCCTAAAAATGTTAAGGATATTCTGCTTTAAGATTTAAAAAATAAAAGTTAATCTATCTTTAACCATCCTCTATTTTTCATTTCAGGCTCCATCATGTTCTCCATTCCAATCTGCATCATTTTCAAACTATGTATAAAAACAACTCCCTTTTCATACACAATTAAGGTCACAACTACAGTGCAAAAATATTCTCATATAAAGTCCATGCAGAGTGTATTTACTCACAAACGAGAATTGTGCATACATCAGTAACAATGCGACTGCAGCTGCAGCATGGAGGGACAATGGCTTGTTAAAGGAGAATGATACAAGCAGAAAGAAAGACACAATAGTTGATGCAAACGAGGTAAAACAAAGTAGCAGGATGATGGTGATGTGAAACAGTCTGTAAGGATCGACTGCTGGTGATGGAGAATTTTTTGCTATTCATAGGATTGAACAAAAACAAGATGACATCATTTATACCTCAAAAGCAGCCACAATGGAAGTCTGGCAGCATAAAGGTAATCATCATTACACATCGATTGTAAACATCAGTTTTTGTGTCGGTCCCTCAGAACCAAAGGAAGTCTTTGTTTTAGAGCCAGCTGGTGCTCAGCAAACACACACATGGGGAAACAAAAACACACCATTTCTGCAAAAGCTTCAGCAGAGTAGAGGGCTGCAAAAAGGCATTCTGGGAAACAGAGTAAATAGACATGTGGTGTATTAAGGGGAGAGTAGGCTAAAAGAAAGTGGAGAAACAAAAAAGAAACTCAAATGATCCATTAGAAATGACAGAAATGTAAGACGACAAAATGAACACTTGATTAAGACCACAAAGGCAAAATCAAAGAACTGTGAAAGAACATCCAGTTTCACGATCACTGTGTGGACACTGCGACTGCACGCCACAGCGAGGCAGCATCCTCGTGCTGCTCAGAAGTGCAGATTAATCCAGGTGTTAAGAAGCATTGTGCAGTTTAACCTTTAAAATTATCATCTGAAAACCTGATGGGGCCATGTTCTCCAAGAGAGACACAAAATGCTACCAACACTTATCCGATATATATCTTTATATCAATGTAGCTTATGGTTTGTGGCTGTAGCAGCGCCTTCAGTTTATATTCAAGACATATCTCCAGTGATTACATAAAATGCTAAGAATAAAATACATAAATATGCTTAAACACAGGGTGAGTATGCAATGATATATGAGGAGATTGTGAAAAGGGGAGGAAAGCTATTGTGGAGCTCATCAAAAGTCTATCACTGAATAATACAAGATTGTATAAAAATATATATGTTTGTTTAAACGAACATTTACTTCAATACTCATCCTAAAAAATGCATATTTACACCAGCATCATTAGTGGTACTTATTTCTTTCAAGGAGTAAGACGTGCATGTCTGAAGGGTTTGATGTATGGAGAAACATGAATCTGTGTTTAAGGATGTGTCTTAACAACAAAGGAAAGAGATGTCTTGTGTAAATAAGCACAGACAAAAACTGGTTTCATGGATTTCAAGAGGCGTTGTACTCTGGCAAACTCCAGAGTACAGAGGAGGAAAACAGCTACGTCTGAAAAATGTATATTTTGTTGAGATTTAAGTCAGAATTCTAACTTAACCTAAGATTACAACTTTCAACTAAAACAACATTTTTTTTTTTTAAACTACATTTTTTTTTTTTTTCAGAATTATTCCTAGGTTGTTTTTTTCCGGAGACATGAGTTCTTCCTTCATATTTCTGTTCTGATCCAAATGAAGGCAGCCAAAAACCACTGACTTTTAACGTCTTTGTGCTTCAGATGTACATTTTTTGTTACATTTTTCAGATTGTTTCTCTTTTGTGCTCTAATTTTTAGAGATTTAGGATAGAAATATGGGAATAAATCTAGAACCTGTTTTTAAATCTTTGTTTCAACACACACACACTGTGTTCTTGTTATGCTGTTGGAGAATTGGGGAGGCACCACTGGACTCCTGTTTCTTCTCTGCGTTGTGTTGGACTAGTGGCTGCCTGTCAGTAGTCCTGCGCCGGGCTTTTTTAGGTTGGATGCTTGTCGGTGATGCAATAGTTCGCTTGCTGTTTGTTGTCCAGCTGCCAACTGTCCTGTCAGACAGACCCGACTGACTGGGAACCTCAAGGCTACCGAGTGAACACAGTCGAGTCAGAGAGAACGGGTCGGAGGAATGAATGTTGTACAGGCTGTTGCTTCCTGACAATCCGTCCCGTCGCTCCAACGCAGGGAGGAACTCACACACGGCAGAGTGAGAGTCTTCCTCTGGAGGCCGCTGAAGAAGAACAAGATAAACAAAAGTAAGAACAAACTTTTGGGCCAAGTTGTTCAAAAGTAAATCCAACAGGATCAAAGCTCAGCAAATCCCGTATTATGTGAGGTTTAATTTCTTGCTTTGTTGATGGGGTTTGGTGGAAAGAGGTTCCTTTGTGTGTTGTGGGATTTTTGTGTTAAAATAGTTATTTCAGACCCCACCCAGAACTTGCACAACACAAAAATAAACAACAGATTAGAAAAACATGTTGTTGTTTTTTTTTTGCCTTGGAGTCGGTTGCTTACCAAAACTGTTCTTTTTGACAACAATTTAAAAACAAAAACAATATTTGTTTGCTACCTGTAGAAGAGGCGTGTCAGCACGGGAGATGGAGGTGGGAGGACACTGGGAGATCTTGGATAAGTCGAGCAACACCTCCTCAGTGTGCAAGGTGTCCTGGGAAATCTCAGACTCCTCCAGTGTGATTACAATGACGCTGGTGTTGTCAGCACGCAACATGCGCTGTCGCCACCTCAGAAGAGCATGGCTGACCAGATGTCGGGCGCTCGATACCCCACATGGTGCCTGCAGCATGAAGATTTGTTATTATGCTCACACGTTCTGATATGAGGTCGACTTTTCTGTGTTATATCATTATTATTAAGGTATCATTACAGCACTGTTTGGATCAGGTTTTCTTTCCTGCACTCACCATTGCCTCATCATTGTTTTGACACATGGAGATCGCTTCTTGAGGAGGG